CCCCCACCCCCCTGGGTGTGTCATATATCAGATTCTCCAATGAAACACTGGGCTGGGTGTCATCAATCATGCTCTCCAATGAAAGATTTTCATGGGCAGAAGATCCAGTATCCTAGGCTACAAATCTCCACAAGATAAGCGTGGAATGTGCTTCTGGCCTTCATCTGCAACACTGCTCCTTCAGGCCTCTCCCCCTCCTTCTTATGGCACCTCGGAAACAGGCATAGGAATGATTTACGAGTTGACAGTACATTCATGGCTCTTAGCTAAGTCCAACAAATTAACTTGGGTTAGGACAGAAGGGCGGGAGGCTACAAATTCTGGAGAGAAGGTGCCACACGTGGAGAGAAGAAGCAACATTTGCACACATTCCATGACCAACTTGTAACAGCTGGTACCCAGACTTCCTTCCCCACACACACACACACCTGCCCCACATCAGACAGCAAATGCTTTTTGTGGCTGGCTGGGGAATTCTGGGAGTTGAAGTCCACAAGGCCTTAAAGGCGCCATCTTTGGTTCTAAGCCATCTTATCTTCCTCTGTAACCTCTTTGCTCTTTCAGGTCACGGGAAGTTCTCTGTTAGCGAAAAGGGTTGCGGACTGGGCATGCCAGGAACCAACGACAAGGCGGTGGAAGTGCACGGCATCCTGGCCTTCTCTCAGCTGCATCAGTGCAACACAAGCCACTGCAACATTAAACTGGACATGAAAGAACTGCAGCTACAACCCATGGGTAAACCCCAGCCCACATAAGAATGATGATTTTTTTTTTTCTTTAAAGAAGATTGTTAGTTTTATCCACTGCTATGTCTCTGGGGAATAGTGGAATATTTTCACAGCATCCTTAATAAGCTGGGAGGATTGGTGCAGTGGCCTAGAGGTGAAGCTCTCGCCTCACAATCAGAAGGCTGTGAGTTCAATCTTAGGTAGAGACAGATATCTCTCTCTGGGCACATGAGCATCTCTTTGCTTGGGGGGAAAAACTCCGCATTGATGACAGGAAAGGCATCTGGCCAGTAAACAATTCAGCTCCATTCAGTTGCCCCGATTCTATCCCGCAAGGGATTGTGGGGTCATTAAAAGAGGATAGTCCTTAATAAACTGGGACTTTCCAAATATGGATTATCCCCAGCTTGTAAATTAAGTAAATTGTAAATAAAATACATTCTAAGTCTCCCATAGGCATGAAAACCGGCTGGGTGATTTTGGGCCAGTCTATCTCAGTTCAACTCTGTGAGCTGCTGTGGGGAAATAGAAGGCAGAAGTCTTAGATATGTTCACTGTCTTAAGTTATATATAAAAGGGTAGAATAAAAATATAATCATGATAATAATAACAACAACACAACAATAATAGCAATAATGGGGAATACTGTGAGGGGAAAAAATACAGGAATGGAAAAAAAAAAATACAGGCTGGCTGGAGAATTCTGGGAGTTGAAGTCCATGCATCTTAAAGTTGTCAAAGTTGAGAAACACTCATCTAGATAGCCACAGAAAATTACATTGATGTGTTGCCATAGAAATGAGCTCACCTTCAGGGAATATTTGTCTTTTGTCATCCTGAGGCCTGCAAACAATGGTTACAATGCTTTGTGTAAAACTTACAATAACCACAAAGCCAGTTAACCTAGAACAAAAAGGCCAAGATGTTTCTTCAGCCATGCCTTTGTGTTCTCAGGCTAAGAGCTTTTTTGCCTAGTGTGCAATGCTTGTAATGGTTTTGTTTACTTAGGTCTCTTTCTGGGGAAGGAAAGGTGGGGTACAGCTGAATCAATAACTAACAGAGGCAGTCTATTTAAATTTAGGACTGGTTTCAAAAGCCTCTTTTGGCTAATCTTGGTGCTAGGTTTAAGAAAAAAATATAAATACGCCTGGCCCAACGCAGTTCAAGTGCTTCTTCTGGAATTCATCCAATGTAAAGTTCGTATCTTTTCCATCCTTGATAATGCTATTTCCCCCACACATACACACCTTTTTTTTAATGGCTCTATCTCCAGATAACGTGAGTGCGCAGATTCCCAACGGAGTGGAATGCTACAGCTGTGATGGAGACAACTGCACAACAGACAATTCTGCCATTGTCAAGTGTTATGATAATTTCCGGGGTTGTTTCCATGGCAATGTCACCATGAAAGCAGGTGAGACCTCTGAAGGTCATTAAAAAAAATGTGACTAATTTGGCTGTCTTGGGATTCCGGAGACCGACTGTAGGCCCTTAAATATGTTGGATTTCTTCCTGTCCTAGGAAAGGAGTGGGGAGATGGATTAATGGAGCTAAGAGGATGAATCAGTGCCTCTGAGTGAAGGCCATCATAGCCCAGCTGAAATAAAAATTGTTTTCTAATTGTGTAGGAAATCACGTTCTCCAATATATAGTAAAAAGGGATAGAAGCAGAAGTTAAAAGAGGGCATTCAGTCATGCTCGGAAAATGGCAAACTTTTAAGAACTATAATTATGCCATTTTTTAAAAAAAACTTTCTACTTATTTGTTTTTTTAAAAACAACAACACAGCATTTATATTTCTCTGCCAGAGATACATCCCTCCTTTGAATTTTCTTGTTTTTCAAAAAGTTACAAAATTGCTCCAGAGCTGTTGGGAAGAGAGATTTGACCAACTATTTGCATTCTTGACTTTTTAACAAAGATTAAACACAATGCATTGTTTTGTTGACCTCGACCTCAAAAAAAGCCCTTGGGTCTGGACACAAAGCGTACTTGATTTGGAATGGGGCTGGAGGGGAGGGAGGAGAAATAACCCTTTGGACCAAAACTGTAATCCTTGAAGGAGGACATCTGCCTCAAAGTTGCTTCTTCTCCTCTTTTCCAGGGAATTTTTCACTGACCAAACCCATCAAAGGATGTGTTCAAGATGGCGACTGTACCAAGGTCAGGAAAGGGAGTCCTGCCATCACCCTCTCGGGCTCCTGTTGCTCGGGGAATCTCTGCAACACGAACCTCTCCAACAAAACACACTTCTCCACCTCCATCCCAAGGCTGGCCTTCCTGCCTGCTCAAGAGACCAAGAACGCAACCGTCACTACCCCTTCAACGTACGTCCGGATCAACGCAGCCACAGCGGCGGCTTCCACTTCCGGCAAGCTCACCCGTTCTCTTGGTGTGAGCCCATCGGTGGGTGGCCCTCAGAAGGACCACAGCCACGACCACGGCCACGACCACAGCCACGACCACAGTCATGAAGAGGATGAGAACAACACCGTTGTTCAAAATAGGAAGGTGGTCCCTTCCGTGAACGTTGAAGAAAGACATGTTGGTGGGCCGAAGGGAGGTGTGGCAGGCTTGCAGGGCTCAGCCCTGGTGACTTTTCTGCTCCTTGGCTTGTGTCTGTGAAGGTGAACCAAGGAGTGAGTTGACATTCAACCCTCTCCCCCTCTCCTTTTTTTTTTTCTTCACTAGATCAAAGCCTATCGCGTACAGCTTTGCCTCATTTGGTACGATCTCTCACGCTCCAAACCGGAGGTTGGACTCTATCGTCCTGTTATTCTGTTTTACCTGCCTGTCCTAGGCCTCTTCTCGAGAAGCTGGCATTTTGGACGTAATAATGTCCTATTTATGACGTTTGAGTAATCGGAAATAAATTTTCCTTTGGTGCGCCTTCTCTATAACAGGTAGTCCTTGACTTACAGCCCTTCTTTGGGTGATCGTTCAAAGTTAACCTTCAAGTGTCCTTCAACTATTCCTTGCACTTATGACCGTCACAGCATCCAAAAAGTCATGTGGTCCAAATTCAGGTGCTTGGCAACGGGCAAATATTTGCAATAGTTGCAGCATTCCAGGGTGAGGTGGATCATCATTTGTGACACTCCCAGATGGTTCCTGACAAGCATAAGTCCAGGAGAGAAGCCAGATTCACTTAATGACTAGACAGCTCATTTAACATTTGCAATGATTTAACATGTGCACTTAACAACCATGGCCAAAAGAGTAAAATTGGGCATAAGGCACTTAACAAGCCCTTACTTAACAGTTAAAAAAAAAATCGGGTCTCAATTGTGATCTTAAATCCAGAACTACCTGTAACTTTATTTTTCACTGCTCTGATATATGATTCATCTCATGTTTATGAGCAGGGAAACCTGGTTTTGCTCTCCCCCAAAACAAACTCAAATTTCTTTTGCATGGGGTTATTTTCCTGCCCTCCTCTTCTAATGTGATTTTGTGCTGATCAGACTTCCAGGGTTTTGGTGGTTGGCATAAATTTTGATTTGACAGAGGTCAGAAAGAAGGTGCATGCAGTTGGACTTAAGCTGTTACTTAACGATGTGGAACCGACAACAGTGAATAAATCAGCTTTTTGCGTGGGCCCTAATGACTTAACCCTATCAAAGTGTTCTAGAAATCATGAATGCCAAAATGTGCCTGAGACCCAGGAGGTTTAGTTTAGTTTAGTTTAGTTTATTGTCATTGCACCTCGTACAACGAAATCAAACACCATCTCCAATGCACATCATGACCATGACCATGAAAATAAACGCAAACACACGTCCTTCACTCTCCACACATCGAACCGAAAACCCCTGACACCAGACCAACACTGCACTATACAGCAGAATTCAAAAGAGATACTGCCCTGGGATAGAAGCTGTTTTTCAGCCTATTTGTCCTTGTTTTTATTATCCTGTACCGTCTGCCAGATGGTAATAGTTCAAAAAAAGGGTTCCCAGGATGAGATGGATCTTTGAGAATGTTTTGAACTTTCTTAAGGCAGCGGGAGCTATAAGGCTCTTCCAAAGAGGGGAGAGGGCAACCAATGATCCTCTGGGTAATGACGTTAGCCTCTGGAGCACTGTCCTATCTGCCCTGGTGCAATTGGCAAACTCTACACAGGTGCAATAAGTTAAGATACTCTCTATGGTGCAGCAGTAGAAGGTCACCAGCAGTTTTTCATTCAGTTGTTGTTCCCTGAGAAGTCTCAGGTAGTATAATCTCTGCTCGGCCCTTTTGACCAGGGCTGCAATAGGTCAGGTCCTCTTTTATGGTAACATCCAGAAACTTAAAACTGGCCACTTGCTCCACTTGGTCTCCATTGATAAGCAAGGGCTGGATGTCTGATCTGTTCCTTCTATAGTCCACTATAAGCTCCTTGGTTTTATTGGTGTTAAGGACCAAGTTATTGTCTCCAAACCACGAAAGCAACTGGTCCACCTCATTTTGGTAGGTGATGGAAGTGTTTTGGTTGAGACCTTACACAAGGAAGAGAGTGTAGAGTTAGGTGGACTGTTGCCACTTGAATTTTAACTTGCATTTAACTTGGATTTTAAAATTTAACATTTGGATTTTAATCCTGAAATGCTGGAGTACAGCTATGAACGTCGAAAATCAATATATGTAGCTCTTTACTTTTTCAAGAGGATCTAACCTGACTTCAGTGAGTGAATAAAATGAATCAAACTATAACCCTCACAAGACAAATTATGCAAAATAGGAAACCAAACCTTTTAAGACGGCAATTTTAAGTACATACCATAATTTGCACACACAAGACATGTTTGTTTTCAACATTTGCAGGGGAGATGGATTTCGGGTTTTACCTTCTCTTACTGAATTGAACCTGGAGCCAAACAGCAAACATCTGCTCCATAAACTGAGATCAAAGCAATAGAACACCAAATCAAGGGATAAGACAAAGGTTGAAGTTTTGGCTAAGTTCACACAACACCCTAGACTAAACTCAAATGAGGGTTGTTTGTGAGTTTCTTTCCATCCATTGTCTTAGAATGTTATAATGAACCAGGTCATTGTATTAAGCCATAATACAGTTTATTCATTTGGTTATAGCATGTTACATGAACCTAGAAATTGTATTTAGTTCACTTGGGTGAAGGATGTGTTGTATGAACCCAACTACTGAATCTCAGCAGAAATCCCACCGATCCACCCCCCTCCCTTGTTGTTCCGAAGCAGGAACAAATCAAATCCCAAAAGTTTAAACACATCTGGTGCTGTTATTATTCATTCAGTTTATTTTGTTCCTGTTTGTAAAGAGTTGTAATTGTGACTCTTGCCAAAGTAATAATTTTCAAGGAAAACTGGACTTGGAAAGATATTAACAAATAAAGAGATTGCAACATGGCTGAACAAAGTGCCTTGCTTAGGAGATTTGCAGGGGTGTGTGTGTGTGTGTGTGTATGTGTTTGTGTTGCTTCTTGTTGCTCACCACTGTTATTATTTGCCATTTTCATGCTACGAAACAAAACAAGGAGAGAGATCTATATAATACCGTAGTATTTTTTCTTGTTTTGCACAACAAGAAAACAAGGAAGGAAGGAGGGTAAACCTGAGATTGAAATACCGTATGTGAGGTTTGAAAGAAGAGTTCAGGGTTCCTGTCCAGCAGTGTTCTAGAAGGAACCCTAGTGGAGATCAAAGGGAATGAGGTGCTACCTTCTAAAACCATCAATCTTTGATGAGCTAAGACAGTTTTTCTCAACCATGGCCACTTGAAGAGGTGTGGACTTCAATTCTCAGAATTTCACAGCTAGTATGGCTGGCTGGGGAATTCTGGGAGTTGAAGTCCACACCTCTTCAAGTGGTCAAGGTTGAGGAACACTGAGCCAGAAGACAAAGACCTGGTAGCTTAATGAAGGAATTTCTGGCTTTGTTCATTGCAGCATCACCAAGTCTAGGACTGTCCTACAAGTTTCTTTCAAGTGTAAATTCACCTTGTTCCTCCACAGTTAGATGGTGGGAGGTCCTTCTGAAATATTGCTCAAAGAAAGAGAATTTCAAGGGATTTCTGGACATGTCAGATTTTACCACATACAGAGCAGTCATTAGGTGGCAAAAACCTAGCTTTCTTAAAGCTTGCTTTGGCTTAGTGAGCCAAGATTAGCAAATATAAATAAAAATCTGGTTCCAAATTTCTTAATGGCCACTCAACTACTGACTACAATTTGGAGCCCAATTCAGTGAAATGATTAAACTGAGGGAAAAATAACAGAGGTAGGGGTTGTTTTTTTAAGGAGAAAATGTCTTTCAATAACTACAGATTTTCTTACATAACATAAGACCATGTTTTGTCTGAGGTTGACCAAGACCTACAGTGTAGAAAAGGGAATTGGAGAAGAGGAAGGAAAGAAGAATGGAGGCGTGGGATAGAGGATACAGGCTACTCTTGCACAAAAGAAACACTACACAACCTTGTTAAGCCCGTGTGGGAGGTTACTGTTAGTCATTCTCAGATTGTGCATGACTATCATATGCGGTTCTTCAGTTGTGTGTCTTTCTTCTATCTTCCTTGCTTAGTTGAAGAACGTATCATAGTTATTTTCTTGAAAGAAAGAGTTAAAATCTTTCATTTTTTCCATCCACTTGACCTGCACCCAGCAGACAGAGCTGGGTTGGCTGCCTGTAGTATAAAAATAAATAATAAGATATATTGGGCATAAATTAGATCAAGTTAACAACGTGGGTGGTTTGGTCTTGGTGTCAAGGGAATAAAGCTAAACTTTAAATGTTATCTTTCCCCAGATGAGTAGATCAGAAATTGTCTAGTAATTTCTTAGTAGACATTTCCCTAAGTTTTCCTAAGGGAAAACTCTTGACTACCAAAATTACTTAAGAACAAACTTTTTTAACACATAGACAAGCATCCACTTTCATTAACACAAAAATCCTAAACAACATAGGGAATGGCTCTTTCTGAGATTTGTCAAGATTAGTATTTTTCCACTTTGGCAGCTTGAAGATGTATGGACTTCAACTCCCAGAATTCCTCAGATAGCAAGGCTGATATAAGAGAACATTTGTATATTAAACAGTCCCATTCAAGTCAAAAATTGATTTCCCCCACAACTGAAAAACCAGTAGGCCAGGGATGGTGAACTTTTTATGGCTCACTCAGGAATTCTGGGAGTTGAAGTCCATAAGTGATAAAAGAGCCAAGTCCTCCCCCCCCCTAGATAAAAGCAATACACATTACTCTTAGGACTTGAAGAGGGCTGTTGTCACTTATCCGATCCATTTTCATGGAACGAAGCAGCAAATACATTTTATTTCATTTGGACAATTTGTACAATAAATGTTTGCTTTTCTGCATTCTGCTTCTTTTTGGTCAACAGCTGTACCAAGTAAATGTCAGGGTTCCAAATAATAAATCCACTGCATTGGTGAAAAAATTTATAGCATGTCATATATGAGCATTTACATGTAAGACTCTAAAACCATGTCTCACTCTTTGAGATTATGTTTACTTTTTACTTTTCAAGATAGCTTACCCATGGAAATCAAATAAAATCTGTCCAAGAACAGTTTCTCTATGGAAGTGTAGTAGATGTATTCTGAGAAAAATTAGGAGCCCTGAGGAGGAAGGAAGGAAGGAAGAAAAAGAAAGAATGAAAGAGACAGAATGAAGGAAAAAAGGAAGGAAGGAAGAAAAAGAAAGAATGAAAGAAACAGAAGGAAGGAAGGAAGGAAAAGAATGAATGAAAGAGAAGGAAGGAAGGAAGGAAGGAAGGAAGGAAGGAAGGAAGGA